TGTCCAGTGCTGGGGTCAGCCACCAACGGAGCGAGAGCAGCACCTGGGGTGACACTCGAACCTTAAAGTTGGCATCGCTCGTCCTGGCTCTCTGGTATGGAAGCAGGAACCACTGAAGCTCCCTGGCGTGTAGGCGAGCCCAAGGCATGATCCCTATACAAGAAGTGAATTTCCCAAGGAGCCTGGAAAGGAGAACTACAGGGACAGAGGGTAATTTGCGTATTTCATGAACCAGCTGTACGATACTGTTCCAACGTTCCTGGGACAGGAAGACCTCCCCAGCCACTGAATCAATAATGGACCCTAGGTGTTGGAGTCTGGTAGATGGGACTAGGGGGCTCTTCTCGAGATTGATCGAGAAGACCAGGGACCTGAGTGTGTCAATGGTGAGGCCCAGATCCTGCCTGGCAGTTTCTGGGGACCTGGCTAGGACAAGGATGTCATCCAGGTAGCAATGAAGTTGGACTGGGAAGGTAGGAAGGTGGCCCGCGCCCGCGGCCAGCACCTTGGTAAATGTCCTGGGGGCCGAGGCCAGCCCGAAGGGAAGCGCTCTATATTGAAAATGACTGCCATCGTGGGAAAATCTAAGGAACCTGCGATGTTCAGGAGCGATTCTGATGTGAAGATAGGCCTCTGTAAGGTCGATGGAGGCCAGGAAATCGCTCTGTCGGATGCTATCTAAGATGGATTTCAGAGAAGCCATCTTGAATCTATGGTAGACCACTCTGGAGTTGAGAAGTTGGCTCTCCACCCCCCTGAGCTCTTGGGGACCAGGAATAGGTTCGAATAGAATCCAGAACCCTTCTCCCCCTCTGAGACCCTCTCTATGGCCCTGATATCTAACAGGTGCCTGATGGCAGCCTTAAGGACCCGTTTGGCCGGATCTGCAGAGAAGGCGAAGGTACGGAACCTATTCGGGGGCTGCAAGCGGAACTCCAGCTGTAACCCGAGCTTAACAGTGTGGAGGACCCACTCGTCCTAAGTGACGCGCTCCCAGGCATCCACAAAAAGGGAGAGGCGACCGCCGATGGGGTGATTCGCGAACGGATCACTTGAACCTGCGCCTCTCCTCGAAAGGGCCGCTTGATCTGCTGCTGGCCCCTAAATCTGTCTCTTGGAAACTATCTATCCCCTTGTCTATGAAACCTGGGGGTCTGGTACCTCTGATTCTGGGCGTCCGTATCAGGAGGGCGGTAAGATGTTCTCCTGGGGTAAGGAGCATGTTGGTGATCTGACCATCTGGTCGCAGCCACGAAGACCTTCCACTTATTTTTGTCCTCCACCAAGATAGGATCCAGCGAACACCGAAAAGCTTGTCCCTGGCGTAGTCCGCTCCTGCCAGGAGCTACTTACTCTGCCTGCCAGTGGCACAACCACAGCAGGCGCCTGGTCGCTACAGAGGATGACAAGGCTCGGAAAGCATACTGAACTGCATCCAATGTGGCGTCTGCTGAGAACTGCGTGGCTGCCAGCACCTTAGAGATGTCCTGCAGCAGTCGTACCTCCGTGGCCGGGGTCCTGTCTCTCAGCTGTTCCAGCCACAGCACTGTAGACCTATTGAAAAAGGATGCAGAAGCGGTCGCCCTAATGGCCCAGGTTTTTGCTTGGAATGACTTATGCAAAATGATCTCCGCCTTCTTGTCTTATGCCTTAAGACAATTGGCGATGTCTCCAGTCACCACGGCTGAAGCTGAAGCTAGGGTGGCGACCGGGGTGTCCACCTCGGGAACTTGCAGAGCTTGGGCAAAGGTGGAATTGAGATTATAGAACTTCCATTCATTGCCCCCCGGGTTGGGAAAGGATCCTGGCTTAACCCACTGGGATTTAAGCACTTCTAGGAACATCTCTGGAGTGGGGATCTCCTCCTTCTCCACCGGTGGTCTATGGAAGGGCCCCTTCTTGGTGCCCCTGCTAGTGCTTGGCGTAGTAGTCACAGGCCTGGGATCTGAAGGGGTATCCAGGTCTGTTGTGGCCCTGGCCTTACAAAGTAAGGAGCTAAACAAGGAGGGGGGAAAGAGGCCAGTGATGTTGGGGACCTCAGGGACCTGGGCGTCCTCCTCTTCAGAAAACCCCACTTCCTTCAATTTCCCCTCCTCTAAATCCGAAGCTTCACTGGCAGTGGAGGGGGAAGAAGACCTGGGCTCTCTGGTAGCAGAGACCCTGGAGCGATTCTGATTCTTTCTGGCTGGGCCCAGGAAGACCTATGTTTAGAACCCTGGGACTGATGTTTCATCCCAGAAGCAATCCCTTGGGCTATGGCCCTGGCTAAAACCTCCTGAAAGCTACCAGGGAACTCTGGGAGAGAGGGATAGAGCTCTGGGGGCTGTAAGAAGTCCCTTGGCTCTGGAGATTGTGGTGCCAGCCTGTGCCCAGCAGTGCTGGGAGCCCGCACCCAAAGGGGTCTCCCCTAGTCTCAGATGGGTGGGCAGGTGAAAGAGGGGGCGATATGGAACTGTGCCCTCTGCCTGAACTCCTAGGGGAGCCAGAAGGTGCCACCTGGGCCTCTACCAGCGTAGGGAGCCTGCGGGGGGAGCATGATCTAGAAGGTGATGGGCTAATGGTGGCTCTAAACCTTCTAGCAGAGGCCCTGGTAACTCGACCCCCTTTAGAGGAGGTCTCCTTCCTAGGGGCCCTGGGGGTGCTTCTCTTGGCGGGGGACCTCCCTCTGGTGACTGGGGGAGCTCCCCCTAGAGGTCCCCTTGCCTGGGTCCGAGTCCCCTGGGGATCTAGGCCCAGCACCCCCTCCACCATGTTACTCACGATTCAGACGATCACCCCCTCCTCACTCTTCTGCCGGCTCGATTCGATGTGTGTGAAGCTCATCAGGCTCCGCGCTCCTTCCTTGACATCGATCCATGGCCCAAATACCGGCAAGCACTGGAAACTACGGCTCCCACCCGGATTGCCGGTGGAGATAGGCTTCGCTCCAAGCCTCTTCCGGCTTTGTCCGTGCTTTTTGAGCGCTCTAGGCGACTGTAGGAGGCACACGCGCTCACTCATGTGCTCCAAGATGGCGGAAACAAAGATGGCGGCTGCCTCTCTGTTGTCTGAGTTCCTCAGAGGCTTGTGGACGCTGGTCGACAATCCTGCTGAAATTTCTGATCTACGATGCTTGCAAAGGCCTCCTAGCGATCCTTCGACCATTCCGGTAGCCCACGCGGCTCGGAGGCTGCTGCCCCTCTTACGCAGCTGTCTGGCCGCTTGGGGCACGCGCTAGCAAGCGGTGAGGCTTAAAAAGCTAGCAGCGAGGAGCACAATGAGGAGGGATGCAGGAAATACTCTTTAAGGTAAAAGGCTAGAAAAAATTCCTGTAAAAAAATCCTAAATCTTCAAAGTGAGGGAGAGTCAGGTAAAACACTCCTTCTGGGCCGGAGACTGAGGTAAATCTGGGAGGTCAGTGGAGGAATGGAGGTGTGGCCTCAAGATTTACCTCAGTCTCCAGGGCAAAAGGGCTGTGTTAATACCCATGTGTGACTCCTCCTACACCAACTTCGAAACATGCAGTTCAGGTAAGACCAACTGACATTTTGTGCAAAGTGTTAACCA